GGCTCCTATTTTTATCCCACCTCCCACCACCCACTCAACTGCTAACCCCAAAGGCAGGCAGTTCAAACCCAAGTAGAGGCGCCTCACAAGAAAAGCCTGACACCTGTTTGCATGAAGATTACAGCCAAGAAAACGGTCCGGAGCACAGTTCTACTCTGCAGCAACGTGGGTCCCTGCGAGTCCGCCTCCGGCAGCACCATCACTGAGAGTGAGGATACTGAAGTCCTGACAGGTACCGTGCGGGTATCCTACCCAAGGTGTTGTTGCTAGGTGCTAGCTAGTGACAGTGCCATCTCGTGGGGACCATCCTGCAACAGAACAAGAGGTCGCCTGCCCCTCCACCAGCCTTCTTGTCTACGTCACATCTGAGTCCATTGTTGCAACCATGGCTCAGTCGCTCGTGGGAAGTCTTCCTCTGTTTCTCTGGACCTCGACTTCGCCAGCACCATGTTTCTCTTCAGCTCTACGTTCCTTCTGAAGTCACGTCGACAGGAAGCACAAGTCTCGTCACCCTGCTTCAAAGGAGCATATGCTGCCTTCTTCCCAGACAGCCGTGTCCGTTCGTCTGGCAGTTCCTGGAATGTCCAGTCTCCCTTATTCCGTGTCCAGCTTTGTACAGGAAGCCATTGAAAATGCCGTGGCTCGAGTCAGACGCACCTGAGTCCTCAGAGTAAAACCTTCGCTTCCTTAACCCTTCCTAAGGTTCCTTTCGCACAGATATACCCAACTCCGTTTCCGTTTGATTTCCTGACTGCTGCTTCTACGAGCATTGACTGTTGAGGCAAGAAGAATAGAGTTCGTGACCACGGCCGTTGCTTCCACCAATTTATCAGGCTGCTGCTTATTAGTCCCCTGGTAAGGATTTCCAAGGTGCTTATGTTCAGCCTGATGGTGGTGTGGTTACACGTTGGACTGCTACCTGCAAGGTCAGCAGTTCGAAGCCACCAGCTGTCCCGAGGGGGACCAGTCTCGGAGGCTCACAGGGGCAGTTATCCCGTTCCAGAGGGTCGCTCGGAGTGGGCCTTGACCGGCTGCAGTGAGTGTGGTCCAAGTGTCACCCGTACTGATGGCTGCAGACTTTTACTTTCATCCGCCAGTGTTCCAAGGTGTCGCAGACTTTTACTTTCATCCGCCAGTGTTCCAAGGTGTCCCGATTGTGGTTAGGGGCCATCAGCTCGGTTCAGACTCACGGCGACCCCGGGCACAGCAGGACACAACACCGTCCGGGCCTCGCCCTCCTCCCAGTGGGTCTTATGTCTGAGCCCGTTGCTGCAGCTGCGGTGCCTGTCCCTCTTATTGAGGGTCTTGTCCTGCTTCACCCCGCCTCTGCTGTACCCAGCAGGAGGCCCTTCTCCAGGTCTCCTTGACAACATGCCCAAAGCACGTGACCCCAAGTCTCTCCATCCAGGCTTCTAAGGAGCGCTCTGGCCATACTTCTTCCCTGAGGGATTCGTTGGTTCTTCCAGCGGTCGGCGGCACTTCCTGCTCCTCACCAGCGCCTCAGTGCGACTGCGCCGGCAGGCAGTCTGGAGTAAAGCGGGCTCTGAGCCGGTCTGCTACCTCCAGGGAGGGAGGTGGGGAGCATGTCCACCCATTTCACAGATGGGGGCCCTGAGGGTCCCAGAGGGAAAGCCACTTTCCCAAAGCCACACATCAGTCCCAGGTCCTTCACATCGTCCGACCTGCAGCAGGACACACAGGCAGCAAAGGACCAAGGTCTCCGCACTGGGAGCTGGGCAGCTTCCCCCTGCACCTATTGGCCATGGCAGCGCCCCCTGACTGCTCTCCGCTGCCCCCAGCCTCAGTCAGCGTCAGGAAACCGCGCTCTGTCAGTAATTCCCTCCTCCTCCAGAACCTTCCAGCTGAAGGTTCAGGAGCCCCTGAACCTGCCTGCCTGGTTGTGGAGGAAGAAGGCAGAGCCCATCTGCCCAGGCGCGTCAGCGGGTTTTGACACTTGTTCCTCCCCTCCGCCTTCTGTGCAGGAGGGTCTGGCTTGCATTAGCACCCCAGGCCCGTGGTGACGGAGGACCGCGTTTGGGCTCCGTCCAGAAAGTGGCATGCTCCGCTGGGGCTCTCCCGCTACTTATCTAACAGGGAACATCAAATGGTTTGATCTGCCAATTAGGCTCCCTCAGAGCTGCTAACTGGAAGCAGATGGGCCTATACATTATCGTATGGAAAACCCCGGCCTCCACCTCCTGGCAGAAGGGGCGTGGCTGCCCCAGTGCCGGCTCCTCTCCCTGATGCCCATAGACAGGAGCAGGTCGGTGGGGGGTAGGGGGGGGTCCTCCTTGGGTGGAAGTTTTGGGGCCCAGGCAGAACTGGCTTCATTTCTGATTCACAGAGTTGGAGGGCCCTGGGCCTGGATGCAAATCTGCCCAGTGACCCCAAGTCCCTGGCTGGTCTAGGGCTACACCTGATGCTGGGGGACCTTTATGAGTCAGATCAGCACAACCCGCTAGGTTAGGACCCAGGCCCGCAGGGAGTTGGGAGGACACTGGGAATGACATCTGGGCCCCTCCCATCTCCTAGGACCACTGCCCATCGCCACCTGTGCAGGCCACCGTTCTCACACCTGATCCTGGTGGCTGACTCCTGAGAGGCCCCTGCCTCCTCTTCCTCACACTC